ACTGGGACACTTCAACCATCTCATGGATTGAGGAAAGCTACATAGAAAATGTAAAAACAAAGCAGTCCATCCCAGAGTTCTAACGAACCATAGGCTCTAAAAAGAGGTGATGATAAAGAATGAGAATTTACCATTACCCGCAAAGGATTCCTAGAGTACTGGACACATTTACACAGTGCATGGATAAATAAAAATAATAAAATTATTGAAATGTTAAAAATGTTTCTTTAATTTGTATAAAATTATATCCTAAGCCATAAATCACAGTTGGGATGAAATAAAATAAACAAAAATGGACGGAATGCATAAACACACAGCATTAAAAATGAAGCATAGCAGTTTGTAACAACAGGAGGACTGAAACCTAGAGGCCTAGAGGCAAATTGTATGAGTCTTGTTCGAACAGCTGCTGGTAAGTAACATAAGTATCCAACATGTAACTTTTAACACATGGTTCAAGTCTTCATTGTACTTGAGTCAAACCCAAAACTAGAGTTGAAAAATTCTCAATCAAAGCATCAAACCTGCTCAAGTTAAAGAATAAAGAAATGAGGTAAATATCTATGTCTTTGATGAACTTTCTTTTCCCCAGGAATAGGGTTATTTGTGCGACAGGATGAGTGGGATAAGGGAAAGGGAGATAAGTTATAAAAAAATAGTTAGTGTAAAATACTGGATGGACACTGGAACATTAAACATACAATGAGTGAGATATTCAACAAGTCGCAAAGAACAATTGCTCATGCCAATCAGTTCAGAGTAGACAGTGGAGTCTGCTTACATAGAAACCTGTGAGACCATCAGATTTTCTTTGGATTAGCCCAGTTTCCGGTTGAGAGAAATGGCTCCAATAGCAAAGAAAAAAAGGGAATTCTATTTTCTTTGGGTTTACCGCTGTCTTCAGATTTATTGGGTTTAGTTTAAGCAGACACCACCGTACTTGGTTGGAGGAATAACTCATTTTGTTGATAAATCCTGAAATTGAAATTGTTCAGTTTCTGCCCGACTTTAGGCTGATCAATGTAAAAAATAGTCTTTTCATACATGATGCATTAGACCATCCATTAATTTCGAATCTCCAGAGAAGTGTTTTCATGTCTGAGAAGTTCGAGAATTTTTAAAGTAGCCAGTTGGCACCTCTGTAACCCATGAACAGCCAGGAGCTTAATTAGTAAATCAGGGCACTGGCCACAACGCATTTATTTCATAAGAGAATTACATAACAACAAGTACTGTGATAAGTCAAAATACTGAATGCCAACAGGAAAAGTTATTATCAAAAGTTCAGCTGCATTTGATGAATTCGAAAATTTCTTTCAAAGAAAACATTAGTTTATACACTTTACTTTCCATTTCCAGCATTAGTTATTTTTAAAAAATGCAGGTCTAGAACTCTACACATCATACTGATTACCTATTTTCTAAAGAGCATCTTATTTTTTGTTGGTTTTTTTTTTAGTACATTCTTGAAAATGTAATTCACAAACTGTTTAATCTCACGGTCCCCTCTAACAGTCAGACTAAAGCAATTTATTGACCACCTTTAAAATAAATCAGATCAAATGCTGCCACTAGGCTTGATCTACCATATTAATAATACCCCCCAAAAATGTAACACTGGGGGCATAGGGAGGCAACTTGAGACACTCTGTGCAATAAACTAGCGTAACTTGTAAACCAAGAGTATCCCTTGAAAGACTTATCTTCATGAACATACACACAAAGCCACATAAAAAAACACTGTTTTCTGTAAATAGATAGAATAATATAACAGTCACAGCCAATCATATCACAATACTGAAGCAATATACATCATAATAATATATCTGGGCAAGAACAATTTAAATTGCGCATATATGATTTAAACATGATACATCTATGATTTCGAGTGTAAAAAGATAATTCACCTTATTGCAAAGTGGCAATGTATATATCGCTCTGACAGAACATTCCACAGATCTCAAAAGTCTAGGCATGATGTTATACTATTGTTCAGAGGCTCCTATTACCTCTGATGTCTTAACACAATTTGTTGTCATTCTACTCCAAACACTTTTACCTTCATCATGATATTTGGCTTAGCCATGTTCCTCAAAGTGGTTGCGTCTCTTTTATTCAATTATACTTTTTCACAAGGCTTTCAGATTGCTTTCTCTTCCTTTGCGAGTTGGTGGCCACTTTGTGACTATTTTCAGAAACTTAGAGTTTTACGTTTTTAATTATGTCTTCAAACCAATGAAGTCTATGTTATTGTAGAGTCTTTGCAAGTTCTTTATCGTTGACCCTTCCTAACATATTTTCGGTAATGACAGATATAATCAGCCCCAATTTTGAAAGAACCTTATCAAGTAGAGCAAAAGCAAAGTGTGTTTGTGCGTCATGCATTGCATTCATAAATGGACCACATTTCATTGCCATAGCAATAAAGATACTATTGCTTTCAACGTATTAAGACACAAACATAACATCATAACCAAGCAACAACCTTTGTTCAAAACTTGTGTTTTGATTCACCCTTACTCTTTATCTCATTTTCTAAACCAAAATGGAAATCTTATTCTTCGGAGATATTGCTTTTTCAGTAACTTTTGTCATGCTGAAAAATGCACAAATCTCAAAATCTTACTATGTGGTAGACTTTGGATCCATGGAGGGGGCAGAGCCAGATTGTCAAACTGTAAGATTACATCTATGTAACATAAATATAACCCATAATTACATGTTGTTGGAATCACAAAGCAATACGTATGATAAAAAAAACCCCCAACTGAACTGAAAACCAGACCTAAGAAATGACTTCATTTTCAAATACTTCTGTCCCTCACTTTGAGGCCACGTACAGAAGATTCGGGGTGAAGGAGAATGACATAGACCTTGGTAAATATCTTTAACAGCTGAACACCAAAATGTTCTTCATCGTTTCTAATAATAACAATAAATACCAACTGTATAGTGCACACCCTCACTGAACAGCAAGCTCTCTGTGCTTTCAATCTATATTATTACCCCAGAAGACCCTACCAGAACATTCAGAAACATTCTTGCCTGTCCAAGAAACATACAGTGCAAGCAGCCAATTCAGTCCTCAAATACTAACAAACAAATAGGGCCTCTATTGGTCTAGAGGTACAGTGCTCACCTCTCATTCAAAAAGGTCCTGGGTTCAAAACCTAACAGTGACCAAAAAAAATTTCTTCCTAAAAGTTTGCTTCCTTCAGCTCCTTTCCTGTTCTCTAGTCCTGTTCTGTCATCCTGTCATCTGCTTTCATCTCCATCACTTTCTCTCTCCCCCCCCCCCCCCCCCCCCAGCCTCCGCCTTCCCTCGGCTCCTCTCTCTTTTACTTGTGAATCTTTCTACTGCTACTCCGTTCCTTCTTACTGCTGTCTTTTAGCCACACCCCTGATTTTAGGGTTGTAAGATTGAACATCATCCTCAGGAATATATGGATGTCTAAGGAACTGGGATTGAACACCAAGCTGAGGATCTTCAAAACAAACGTGAAGACTGTCTTACTGTATGGTTCAGAGACATGGAGGCACACAGCATCAGCAGCAAGGAAACGGCAGAGCTTCATAAATGGATGCTTAAGAAGGACAGTGGGGATCAAGTGGTACGATCGAGTCACTAATGCTCAATTGTGGCAAAGAACAAGCCAAAGGCCAGTAAAGGAAGACATACAGGTGAAGAAATGGAAATGGATTGGGCACACCCTGAGGAGACCCCCGACAAGCATCATCAGACAGGCTTTGACGTAGAATCCACAAGGAAAACGCATGAAAGGAAGACCAAAGATGACATGGAGGTGAGCGGTACAAGCGGAAATGGAAAAGGCAGGGACATCATGGCAACAGCTAGACAAGGACGTACAGGACAGGCTTCGCTGGAGAAATGTTATAGATGGCCTATGCTCCACAGGGAGTTAAAAAGGGCAAGACAGAGGTTGAACAACTAGCCTTCTTGGATAAGGGTGAAAAATCTTGGAGGTCCCAAATGCAAGCTGCACACGTTAAAGATCTCTTGGTGGCCCTACAATTAATAAGAGTATGCTTAGGCCGCCACCCATGCATTCAAAATTAATTTCTACCAAAACCTGAAAATACTCTAGTCAGTATTAAAAAATACTTTTGAAATCAGGATGTGGCTGCCTGAAAGCAAGGAGCATTACGAAGTACAAAAACTGATCAGATACATAAAAATCACTTGCACTGCAGTTTGAAGAACCAGCAGTCAACTACCTCTGAGATCTAGCTATGGAAAGCAAAAAAAGAAAAATAGAAAACAAGCTAACATGATCTTTCACTGTCTGTAGCTGGATACCCATTCCCATCTTGGTGAAGTGAGGAACATTTGTGTAAGTGTAAAGTGTCTTTCCTAAAAAACACAATGTTGGTGGGCCTCTGACGAGGTTCAAACTTACAACCTTTCGGTTGCAAGCCCATCAGCCTAATGGTGACTGGACCACCAAAGTCGCTCAGATATAATTCCAATGATCTAATAATATACCATGCTTTGAGAATGTGTTAGCACAGTAAAGCTGAGCTCAGCTTTTCATTGACCAAGATGCTTTAATCTTGTATGGGGAGATCCATTGTCATCCAAACTTTGGGTTGAGGGAAACACAAGCACGTTATTCTTACAGTAATGTATATCACGAGAAACCAACAACACATATTGTCAACACACTAGGGTATTGGCCTAGGTAATTTTATCACAGTTTTCACAGGATCGAAAAAAACTTTCCAGATATCACAGCTGTTGCAAGCAATCCGTGTAAGTCCAAATTTTTTGAATTTTCTATTTTTACACCCTCCCAAGGCTCTGTCAAAGATGCACCTTTCAACATCACAAAAATGCAGTTTAATGCTATAGTCAAAGTCAAAGCTTACATTTTCTTGCTTTTCATGATTCCTGATATGAATATCACAATCAAAAACTAGTTTTTTGTCTCTGGTGTAAAAAACATCCAAACAAACTTACGTGGATTGCTTGCGACACTTTGTTTTTTCCCTGACATAAACGATAAAGATTTAAATATAATTTGGAAATTTGTCTGAGTATTTACACCATTTCATGACCTGACAGTATGCCATTGTGTGAGGAATGCCAACGTGGCTCAGTTTGAATTTGTCATAGGTCTGAATAAAGCCATTCTCATGGCAAGCTGCCGAAATATAATATTGTGCTACGTCTTAAAACTTTTACTTAACAAATTATGTGGTAGAGATCTCTGCCCTTTACCAGATTTTAGGGATCTCTGCGAAAGTCTGCTTTTTGACCTTTGGCTCAAAGGAGGTGGAGGTTCCCGGGGTGTGTCAGAGATGCTTGCGTTGGTCGTTGCGTTGTTATTGCGAGCTGTTGGGCTGACGAGGCTGGAGGATTGTAAGATGAATGCATGTATCAGCTGATTGACGTCATCAGGGGCTTCCATCATCACCATGTGGCTGGCGTCCTGTATGACTTCTAGATGTGAGTCAAAGATTGTCTGAGGACAGAGTGGAATATAAAAAATGTAAACAAATGTTTAGAATTTAAAACTCGAGTAGTTCTGGTTTATTTCCTCATTGCCTTCATGATATAAACATGCACAATGTTCACACTCACAAATACACAACATATCACACACACACACACAAATATACAGACACACATGCATCTCAATGCACACTCACCCACTCACATACACCCACACACAAAAGTGTTCACATACATTACAGACATACAGAAATACACACATACATACATTTGCAGTAAATAGACCAGGTGTTGACAAGAACATCATCATCATGCAGCGTCATGCAGTGCAGATAAAACCGTTATACTATACATGGAATGAGTTTATATGTGTCACGACGCGGTGGAACCAGGCGCTTGTCAATTTTTGGGCATATAGAGTTATTGGTATCAGCTAAAAGCTTTTTCATTCGACATGCTTTTCAGGAAAGAAGTATCCATCTGTCTTGAATAGAAGTTGAGATATTTGTTTATAAAGAAGGTAAGGATCGACTGGTTTTAGAGGTAAAATTAGCAAGAAAATGGTTGCCAAAGTTCGGCAACTTCCGTATATATTGAGAGTTCTTGGAAACAGAAATCTGCAATATTTGTGCCTTTAATCAAAATTGTTCTGTAAAATCCATACCGATATAATGTTTTTAATTAGACAAATAAAAGGTTAATAAAAATTTGATAAAAATTGACAAACTGGCAGAAAAATGCAGATTTCTCATATTTCATTTTTTTGACGAGCGCTTGATTTCACCATGATGCCTCACATATTCTGCTTTTAACATGCTTTGACATGTCTAAGTTACAAAGCCATTTTGACACACAGAAAGTGTGACAACTTTCTCTTGTGGACCGATTTACTCGTATTGACATTGAATCATACGTGGTTTGTACCTCTGCCATCTCCTGTTCTTCCTTCAGCGACACAAGTTTGTCCTCGGACCCGTAGACCAAGAGGCAAGGACAGGTGAGCCAGTTATGGAAAATCTCATCCCCTTCTGGCCAGTCCTGTCCATTCATTGTATTCTGAAGGACGTAGGTTGGGATGTTAAATGCCTCTTCTTTGGGCAACACCGGAGTTCTTTTGTTATGGAAGGCTCCTCTGCAATGATTAAAGACAGAACACAACTGTGGTTGAAGTGTGAAGGTGAGTTTTTCTTTAAACGGAAATAGAAACATTAAAATTTTTTGTTGTTGTATCATCTGGGTTGGCCTCCCCTGTTGAAACAGGCTGAAACAGCAATTTAAAATTCCTCTTTTATAGGACAAATGTAAGGCAGGTAGGTGGTGAGCCATTCAAATTCAAACTTAATTCAAGACTGATAGATTAGGAGTAGTGCTATTTCTATCAAACTATTTGCAAAGTTTCCTGTGTAAAGGTACGCACAAAGAGAACGCTTGCTCGCGATAAAAGCGAGCGCGATAAAGCGAGCTCTAGGGAAGAAAGCGCTTGCTTGTCGTTGAGGTGTACACAAAGATAGATTGCAAATCGCGGTTGCGACTGATCATAACTTGGGCATTTGGCGCCATGGCGGATTCGAGTGAAGACGAACTGTTGTTGCTAGACAGTGTTTTGCCGAAAATTATCCGAGGAAATCGCAAAAGAATGGGGGGGTTCATGAGATAAATAAAAGGAGGCGAGTGGAAGGTGAATATCACCATTTGTTTCCTTTACTTAAAAGCCCTTCTCGTTTTCAGTCCTACCTGAGAATGAGCCAAGAGACATTCAAGTACATCTGCGTGGTCTTTCCTTCTCTTGTCCCTAATTGCAGGTTTTTTAAACACGGCTGATACCAAAGACTCGACATCAATTTTGGTGCTTTTGTCACTGAGACTGAGAGAAAATACATTCTGAACCACACAAGTTGTGACCAGACAGCCAGACAACAATGGGGGTCGGTACCAAGTACACGCTTGCAAGCCAAAAAGAATTAACTTTTGATTCTTTGCGCCTTTCAAGCATCGCTTGAAATCTCAGGCGCCATAAAGAGAGCATGCTGTGTGTGCGCAACAAGCAACTTTTGAGTGACATTTCACACGTGTGTCCCAACGCGCTCACTTTTATCGTGAGCAAGGGTTCTCTTTGTGCTCCGCTTAAGTCTTCTTTATGTGACTGGCTTTCTGACTAAATCACATAAACTTAAAAATAAATTTGTATCTATTGATAGAAATTCTGCTTTCATGATACAAAGATGCCTGTAAAACATTAAGTTTTTACATCTTATGTTTCACTTGTTAGTGTGAAATCTTGTTTAACCTTACAAAGATGCTAGTGGATCCTTAATTTTCAACAAGTTAAGTTAAAGGAGCACCTCCTCTTCCACAATGTAACTTACATATTTAGTAACTGTCGCAAGAAAAATTAGTTTAAAGTCTGTTTGACACCTACTTAAGAGATCAGTAGAAAAACCTGGAAGGTACTCCTTTTTCTAACAGCATCAATAATTAGTAGTCACAAAATTAGATCAACAAACTAGAAAACAATGCTAATCTCAAAGTAACTTCTTTCTCTTACTATACCAATCAGTCACGTCAAGTGAGATGTTGAGAGTTTTCGATGTCTCATATTTCTATTCTTCGACTGAAGGCTCATCCCATTGAATTTACATCTTTTATCAATGACTGATCCCTGGGGAGTTTTCTAGGGCAAATAATCATCTGACTTTGAGGATGTACTTGCCAACTGTTACGCATGTCATTGAAAACCCCCCAACAAATCTTACTTTGAAGATCAATTAGTATAAAGTATATATAAGATATAACTTTCTACCTAAAAAGATGAGGCTTCTTATCAATGACTGCCCAATGACATACAAAAATTAGGATTTTAACCCTCTCCGTACATGGTATTTTACTATAGTATCCATACGACGTGGGGAACTCTGTGCCACCACTTTCCAAAGAGGAAATAACTGTTAATCCGATCCGTACCCTTTGCATAGCAGTTTTGTCAAAATGATTTTTTGAGAAATACTAAAAGTTTCAAAGAGATCTTCGTACTCGAAGTATTCTAAAATGAGAAGAATACAACCCCGGGGGTACAAAATGACCCCAGGGTGTACGGATAAGGTTCAAAAGCCCCCCCACGAAAAAAAACTGTGGGGCCGACCAAGAGAACAATCTGACAAACTGTGTGACTTGCATGATGGAGACATGATGGAGACGATGTAACTGAGATGAATGATAGTGAGATTAGAGACCTTTTTAATAGTGGCAATTCAAGAGTACTAAAATTTTTTAAATTTTGACTGTGAAAAAAAAAAAGGGTAACTTTTAGATGATGGTGCTTGCCATGAGAGAGTTGGTGTGGCTTATTTAATGAGCATATGATTTATAATCAAATTCTTTCTGTCAAGTCTATCTGTGTTTATCCAACTATGTGTTCTATACATGACGAACAGTAATGTAGAATAAAAAAGGTTTATTTCACATTATTATTGTGAGGAACAAGCTGATGCAGTTATATAGACTACAGTCCGCGGTAGTAGTCAAAGGAAAAGGTACTTACTTGTAGAAACCCCTCCTAAGACAAGGACTGATGCACGTAAGAAGGCATGTTGGTAGACTGAACACTCCTGGTTGAGGGGCAAGAGGAGTAGGAGGTCCACCGCTGATGAGAATTAACTTTGAGACTCTCCGAGGGCGATAGCGCCCAAGATGTGATGCAAAAGATGCACTGGAAGGCATAAAGAAAAACATACATACTGGTAATAAGAATAACTGAGACAAGCCATACAAAAATACTTTGAAACATCATGCACACAATTATGTTGTGTGATCAGCTTTGATTTCTTTGCTGAAGGGAGTCTTAAATGACAGCCAACACAATTTCTTTAAAAGTTCAGAAAATATTATGCTTTTTCTCTTCACAACAGCATCCTCCTGTAAGTGTACTTTGGAGTCACTGACACCTGATCAAATTGCAATTTTCACATGCTGTAAATATTAAGGAATCAATTGGAAAAAAAAAGTTCCCATTTTCCTTTTCTTTCAAAGTCAGCTCTTCTTATTCTTTATAAGGCACTGCACAATGGTTCCTTACTTTTCGATCATCTTGACAGGACTCATTAGCTACTAAGAATTTTTTTTAAAAGAGTTATATGTTACTGTAACTAGATGGTGTTGGTAATCTCAATAAAGAAACTCTGTCGGAGATTTTTAGTGAGGCACAGAAGAGCAATGGGAGTACCGCAATTGTTATAACTAGTAACCAACCATTTATGTTAAAAGAGGCCTTCCTTTGGCAATAAGCATACATGTAGTTATGCAGTATAGGTAGTACATACATGGAACCCCCCCCCCAAAAAAAAAATAAAAAAATAAAATAAAACCCCCAAACAAAACAAAAAAACCCTGCATAATTTCTTTTGAATTGCAATATTACAAAAACGAATTTTGAAAATTTCCATCTGTTTTACTCTTACCCATATGAATGGCCAATGACGACATTTTTTCTTTTGCAGTATTTATCAAAGAGGCTCTCCAAGTCAGCAGCGATTTCCTTGAAGTGGTAAGCTTTAGCCTGCTTCGGGGTACCACTAAAGCCATGACCTATTAGGTCAGGAAGAATAACCTCGAAGCCCAGATCAGAAAAATATTTTGTCTGAGCACACCAAATGTCTGAAGATCCTCCAACACCATGAATGAAAAACAATGCTAAATCCTTATGCACTGTAGGTTCAACAGAATCCACATTGTTGGCCCCGTCTTCAGGAGCTGGTGGCTGAGGGTCCTGGCCTGTCTTGTGGCTTTGGCTATTTACAGAAGTGGAATGTACAGAAACTTGATTTGTCATTGCCTCTAGAGTGAATGGACCCGTAGAGCTAAGTGCTACTATATTGTCCTGTGCAAGACCATCCCCAACATTCTCTTTTGTCGACTCTGGTACATTGGTCCAACTGTTCTGATCTTTACTTTCAGATTCAGTCTCAGCAATATCAGCTGGGAGGCTTGTCTGAATCTTTTGAATCAATGTCTGCTGTTGTTGTTGTTGATTTTTGACATGTAAAGCTAACTGAACACTCGATGCAGATCTAACATGTTCTGATGCTGTCTGGTGAGATGGACTAGAAAACACACTGCTTGAAAGAGATGCACTGTCCAATATTCTAGTACCACTTTTAGGGCTCTCAGGATCACGTTTTAAGGACACCACCGCATCATCAGTAGCACATGCAGCTACTTTATCCAACCCAATGGTTTTTTTCCCAGAACACATTTCATTCTTGTCTTGAATGAAATTCGGATGAGAATTTTGAAGTCTCTCATCACCACAGTCAACTGATTTTCTTTTTAAGTTACTCACAGGCTTCCGTGACATCACTAAAGGACCGGAAGACCGAATTCCCGTTTGCCTGTATTGTATGTACAGTTGCATCTCATTTTCAAATTTAGCATCCCTTGGGCATGCATTGAAGTGCTGCACTCTAAGATGCCTCCCCTCTCGAACTTCAACTGTGATGCTGCCATCCAAAGGTGCTACTCTCTTTCTCTGGCGACGTAACATTGTGAAGACATGTATCAAACCTTCTCAGGGCATCTGGAAAAAAAAAAAGAAAAAGATTAATCATGATCGAGAGCATGATACTATACTTATGTTGTGACGTTACCTTACACCAGGTTTTCCTGTGTTTCACACATTTACTCAAAGTTTTTGTCACTAATCAGTCCTATTAATGTATAATACATGTATGCTTCACACCCACACTTAAGACCAAAAGCCATACCTTTTCCTGACGCTTCCACATGCGTCGCATATCTTATTTGTTCCTAGAAACAGGAAGAGAGTGAACATACTAATAATACAATCTATATAGTAAACAAGAAAATTATCTTTTGTTATTTTAAAATGAAATTTTTCCACATTAACTTTTTGATCTAAAGATGGAAGCCTGAAAAATCAAAGCACAACATACAGAAATTAAAACAGACCACAGAAAGGATATGTGTTCTATTGTAAAAGCCCTAAAGAAAATTTTCAAACACTATGCGTCTATTTGGAAATCTTCATATACTCTAACTTTTCCACATGAAATCTTAATTTATAAATAAGTGTGCCCACGAGGAAGTTTCCACAAATTATGGCGAACTTGGGGAGAATAATGCACAAACTATGAAGCCAAAATAAAAGCAGCCAAAACAGCCATCGACCATGCAACCAGTATTTTCAACAATTACCTTTCAAAAGCTAGAAATGTAGAATTTTCTATGACTTAGAGTTAATCCTGTAAGACCTAGGAAATGTTATCAGAACTAAGACATGCCACAAGTAAGATAAATCTCCCACTACATCAGCATTGATCCTATAAAGATCCATACCTGGAGATGCAATAAATCTTCGGACCCTCAAACAAACCAGAAGTGACAGCAGAAACATGTGCCAAGCAGGAAATCTAGACAGGAACAGCTGAAAGCAGAGATTACTTTGTTTCACACAGAAAGGGATTTAGATTAGCAAAGCTAGCACCAAAACGGATCTTGAAAGATGAATGGGTCTTGGGCAAGACAGTTTTCAAACCAAACAAAACACAATAAAAAAGAAAGACAAAATGAGTTCTCTCTCAAAAGAAAAAAAACCGGACAATCTTTAGCCTACTGACAACATATTTTGTGGAATTTCTTAGCAGAATTTCAACTACAGACTCTCCGAATGATCCAGCTGTGACAAAATAAATAGTGAACCACTACACACCAGCATTTGAGCAGCATAGCTCTAGAAGTTTCGATCCCTACTTCCTACTGGACCAGACAAAAAGAATAAATATTTCACAGAACAACAAAGCTACAAACCCCCCCCCCAGCTCATACATACCACTTCATGGTAATGGGCTAGTCAAAGGGTGAAAGCCAACATTTAAATAAATTTCTAAAGTACAGCAATACAAATGAATTGGAATCAAAGCGGAACAGACAGCATGGATAGAAATAAATATCCTAACTAAAGTTTAATTTAAACTTGGGATCATGAACTAAGCAATTTAGGCATCATCTGCCCCATAAAATGCATGCAAGCTTTAGAAATTCTTAACACAAAGACATTTAGGAAGCACCAATATTTTACTCGATATTTGGTGCTCTATTCCTTTGCACAAGAGTGAATCTGCTGATAAAATGGGGTTTACAATTCATACACTGAATATTGTATATATGCATTAGTAGATTTTCCATTAGGTTTTGTGGTTACTACATCCTTATTAATAGAGAAAATATTGGTTTCGTGTATGTATATATGTATGTATCAATAAAAGATACATAAAAGGGATGCTAAATGTCAAAACGTGCCCAGGAGCAGACTGTTACAGAGACCATGCAGGCTTACCAGTGGTGGGAAAATTTAGAATCAGATTAAAAGAACACAAAGAGCAGGAACAAGAATATGAAACTAAACATGGCATTACTCCAGTCAAACAAAGGAATGCAAGATAAATTCAGAATACCTGTACAGAACAAATTCGGGCCCTTAGAAGAAATACAAGACATAGAACAACTCGGGAACCAGGGGCGAAGGCTGACTTGTTTGACTGGGTAATCAAAGTGAGACAAGGAACCAGATAGAGATGTCATAATCATATCACACAAGAATCGTACTCGAGGCAGCAACACTGAATAAGGAATAAAAACAAATTCTGAATTCATATTGCAAGTTCAACCGCAAAAATAATCCGGAAAGTATCTCATTAAACATTAATTCCAACTAACACAAAATTTAACTTTAGATATGAATACACAAACAAAAAACAGGGAGGAAGAGATGTCAATACTACAAGTAATACATGACAATTGTCAATTTTTTTTTTCAAATTTGGCTGTTTTTGTCTAGCTTTTCGCGGCCAGGAGCCAGTGTCATAATCGAGGTAACGATCTTATTATAGGACTGTAAAAAGTCGAGGAAAAAAAAACAAGCATTTGCAGCAGTTAGGAGATTATTAGAAGTTAGTTCCCCTCACATTTGTGAGGTAGGCTCAACCAGTGTAATAGTTAACTTACGTAATCAGTGCTTGTGACTGCTTATGACTGTGGCTCGAAAGGGGTGAACAGGGTATATGTGGCAATGAAACAGTTTTGAGTGTTGTGCACATGTTCCTTTCAACTCTTTAGGTAAAAGACCTACGCTTCTGATCAGTAACAACGAAAGATACAGAAGGTCATTTTTACCATCATCCATAAAAATTCTTCCATCTTAACCATCCTGTATAAATATTCTTAATATGACCTTAGAGCATGCAACAGAATAACATTGAGTTTGTATCTAGCTTAACATTATTGTTTATATTGCTGCTCATTTATATTAAGCATGTGATTGTAAGCCTGCGT